ACAGTGTGGAACATCTGGGGGCTCGCTCCCTCTCCTGCAATAAATGAGAAATGAAGGGTCAGCCTGTTGTTCCCCTTCCAACAACTTTCTTTTGTCTTCTCCATCCCATCTCCCACAAACTCCCAACCTCCCTGTGCCTTCCTCTCCTCAAGCGCTCCCTACTCCACTCCTGTCCTTGCTCCCTCTCATGGAGCTCCTCCCACCGTCCCTCTTCCAGGCCCATAAGTTTTCCTCAGTTGTCTATGAAGTGGAGAAGACTCACCAGGAGAAGAGTGTGAGCAGGTGGTCTCCATGCTGCGGTACAGAGTTGCCATGGCAACGGCTTTCCGCCGGTGGTTGCACAGCTTGGTCATGTCCTCCTCTGATGCGGGCCCCACCCCAGCCCCACCCGGGGTCACCGGGGCCAAAGGGTCAAAGTTGAAAACCTGTAAGGCGGGAGTCACGGACAGGGACCCTGAGAGAGTGGCACCTGGGAGAAGCGCTACCACGGTCAGTGACTTGTATTAGGTCTCTTGGCTTATCCCTGTATTCTCTGGCACCCCTCACCACTCTGACCTTGGGGACATTGAGTGGACACTCCAGACCGCACTTGCAGGTCCCATCGCTGAGGAGGTAGCTCCGGGTTTGCTCCAAGGAAGACAGCTCTGTGCCACTTGGGCTGGGAGAGCACAGGGTCAGAGAGCACGGAGTTAGTTGACACTGAATCAGGAGATGTGCCTAAAGGACAGTTCCTTAGTCAAAGACCTTCCTAGGAAGGGCAGAGAGTAAAGGATGTGGAAAGAGAAAGAGGGAGAACAGATTTAAAGGGCCAGAGATACAGAGAGCAAAAAGGCCGAGGAAGGAAGAACAGAGGAGAGCAATAGGATATCAGAGATCTGGGCGCTGAGAGGAGAGGCGGGAGGGAAAACTCAGGCACTGAACGGCCTGGGGATAGAACTCTGGGAACCCTGAGGATCCATACCTGATATAGAGCACAGCACCCTCTCGAACACAGCGCTGCCAGCCGATGGGGACAGATGTGGCCACAGGGCCCCCAGCTCTGTCTGCTCCACTGCTCTCATTGCCCCCATTCATTGTGTGTAATCAGCTCCCACGTGCCTGATAACACAGACATCCATGTGGGCATTAGGAGGATTAAACTGCACTGGGTACCTGAGGGAGTACTCCAGGAAGGCAAAGATTGTGGGGAGACCCAAAAGAACTCAGGGGCATGGAGAAACCCTGAGAGCTGGGAGAGAAAATGAAGAACTCTCTGCCATCCCGCCGTGGCTACCTGAACATCTCTGCAAACATTGTGGGGTCCAGTCTAAAGCCGGGGCCTCCGGCTTAGCCCACACCTGCAACACAGGAGAGAGAAGGGACTGTCGGAAATCTGCCCAACTCAGAAAAGCACCAAACCCCAGGACACTCTCAAGGGAAAGATCCTTAACCCTACAGGTAAGTGCACACACAGATCTCAGGGATCTGCTGGCTGAGTCCACAACCATCCTTTCTATGTACAGGCCCTAGGAACCGGAGGATCAAAGCCTCAACGCCCAGAGACCAAGGAAGCAGAGCCCAATCCCTAGACATAAAGGGCAAGGCCCCTTTGTCCCATCAGAGACAGAAGACTTCATCCTGGAGTATGGGCAAATTCCCATAATGCCAGGCCACTAGGAAGTTTCCCAGAGAGTCTGGCCCCCTGCTGTTCCCTACCCCCAGGAAGATCATATAAAAAGTACAGATTGCCCCACAGGTCACCAGGCAATTGCCCAACTGCCCGCTGGGGTGGTACCAACAGAACCCCCCCCATGCCTGCTCCATTAGATAATCACCGATCTAGTTGATTTGGATCTTCTTAAGAAAGGTTGGAATCATAGCTCTGTCTTCTCCCAGAATCCTGAGAAGCTCCTGATTTCCCCCCAAGCCTCAGGCAAGGGGATTCAGCACCTCCTACCCCACTGGCTTCAAATTGGCTCCGAGAAGGATTCTCCTCTGATATGTGGGGTCGCCCCCCCACCCTCCAAACCTGCAAGTATCCTCTCCAATCTCACCATCGCTCCCACCCCACACTGGCGGCTTCTAAACTTTCCCTCTCATAACAAGGCGCCCTGTCACCCAGCCTGCTTCCCTCAGCCTGGGGAGGAGGGGAAGGCGCACGAAGTAGGAAGGAACTTGGGGAGAGGGCGGGCGGAGGGTGGGCGAAGCACTGAGGGGAAGGAGGTGAAGAAGGCAAAAGTCAAGCAGTGAGAGGGAGAAACGGTGGGGGCAGGTGAGGGCGGGGGAGTGGGGATGGGGCCAGGGAAAGGGGCCGAGAGGACGCGGAGGGGGCAGAGGGTAGGGACTGGAGGGGAGGGGAGGGGGAGGGGCGGGGTGGGGGGGCCGGGCCCTGCACTCACCGCGGCCCATGGTTCGGCCGGCCCCGCCCTGCGCAGTCGCGGCCCAGAGGGTGAGTGGGAGGGAGTGGGAGGAGGGTCGGTGGAGCCCGAGCCTCCGGTACGGCCCCGGCCGGTCCTAGCAGGAAGCGCCGCCGCCGCCGCCGCGGATCACCGAGCGGCCTCCCGCGCATGCGCCATGGGGGCCAGGGGCAGCCCTGGGGATTCCGTTCCCAGAAGGCACCGCGCAGGCTGCTGCCGCCGCCGCCGTCGCTGCCGCCGCCACCGCCGCAGCCGCCGCCGCCGCCGCCGCTGCCCGGACGGGAGAGGGGCGGGGCCGGGCCCCCGCCCAGCGGACAACGACGAGCCAACAGGAGGGGCCGCAGTGCGCATGCGGGAGCGCGCCTACCCCTCCCCCACAACCCCCCATTAATCCCCAAGAGAACAAACACCCCACGCGGCCCCCCCGCCCTCCGCGGAAGGATCTGAGCCTCTTCCCAGGCCACCGGTGGCCAATCCCAGCCCTCCCCGGGGAGGGGCCCCTTCCAAAGCCACAATCTGTTGGGGGAGCCAGGAATGCCAGGTCCGGGAGGGGCCAGCCCCAAAAGATGAAAGTCGCGACTTGCCCTGCCCCGCCCCAAAGGCTTCCCGGGTAGTGTGCTGGGACTTGACCCGCCTCCCCAGGTCAACATGTCACAACACGACCTCAGCCTGTCAAGTCACATGACCTTTGCCTGTCACTGACAACCTGGTCAAGTCTTTGGGCCAGGAGAGACCATCTGGTCTAACCCACCCCCCACCCCCATTTACAGAAGGAAATGGAGGTCTGGAGCAACGGAGCAGGCCTGGCCAAGGACCTGTCACTGTCACACCACCACCTAAATCTGCCTTCCAGCCACAACCGACCTTGTGACCGATTCTCCTTAACTCTGGCTGCCCCCACGAGGGTATGACAGTATATATAACCGGCCGCCACATGGCATCTTTTTTCTACCTAATGGCACAAGAAAAATACTTTGCATTCTAAGTGGTGCTTTTCACTTTTGTTTAAGCTGCCTCCAAGTTCATAGTTCTTTCATTTTATCTTCACAACTCATCTTTTATTTACAAACAAGAACAGTTGAGGCACAGAGAGATTAGGTGGCTGGCCTAGGGATCGGCTAGAATCTGGGCTCCTAACAACCCGGTCCACGGCAGTTGTGCGCTCAAGTGCACCCAGTGTCCCAGGCAACGAGGCTCTAATGTCGCCCAAGCACCTAGGAGGCAGGAGGCTTGTGCACGGCTCCTCACAGCAGGGAGTCACAGGACTTGCGCGTCCGGTACAGCGAAAAGGTCGGGTCTTGATCTTTTGGTGAAGAGCACCAGAGCACGGTGGGGGGGGCAATGATGAGTGGGGAAACAGGGCGAATAGCGTCCACTGGGCAAAGGACATGAATTCTGGCATGCTGAGGGCTCATCAGAAACTTCACCAAGATAAAAGTTTAGGGTGCTTTCCTGCGAGGAGCTGAAAATGACCATCAAAAGTATTCAAGTTCCTCGACCCCTTCTGGGGGAATTAGGGGAGCTACAAGAGAAGATCTTTTTAAGAATACTCGATAAGACGTTAGGCAGTCCTGTGGCTGGATGCAAACTTTCAAGAGATTGGTTTAAAGACCTTGTGCCCATTAATTGGGAGGGAACCGAGTAAAATGGGAGTCCCTTATGGAGAAGGTGCAACGGGGGCTAATGCCAGGTGGGCAGAATAAGAGCTCCTGAGGAAGACAAGCTGCACCGAGGGTTCGCAGGCAGCCTAGGGGCAGCCACGGTTGATAGCCGTTGGGGCCGTTGGGAGCCTGGCGCTGGCGCCCCGCCCTCTCCTCTCCTCTCCGCCACCACCACCCCCCGCACCTCCCACCACCCTGGTAGTCCCCTGCGCGTGCGCGCGGAGACACCGGTTGCCAAACATTGCATCATCCCCGCCCCCCTTTCCTCCCCTCCCCCTCCAGCTCTCCCCTCCGCGCGCGCGCATGACTCACTCACCTCCTCCGCGAAGCCTCGTGACCCAAAGCCACTTCCGGGTCCAACACAACGTCTACCTCCAAGCAGGAGGGAGCGATGGGGGCGGTGCCGCGGGGGCTTCTGAGTGGCGGATGTAAGGGATGAGGCGGGGCCAGAGCTGGCGTGCCGCGTTCTGATTGGTAAGCTTCTGGACCCGCCCCCGAGAGGAGGGCAAGGCCTTATTAAAAGATAAGTGCTCCGAGCTACCGAGGTCAGAGGCTTGAGTCTAAGACACAGAGCGTATCATGTTGAAGATGAGCGGGTGGCAGCCACAGAGCCAAAATCAGAGCCGGAACCTGAGGAGAGAGGCGAGTACTGATCCCCCATCTACTTTTTACCCTCCTATCCTCGGGAACACGGGTTGTCCCCTCAAAGTTACGGCATCTGCTTTTTAGCATGTGGCCCCACCCCTTCCCCGATGAAGTCAGTGACAGTCCGAGGGAGGGATGGGGAGTATCGTTTATTCAGAAGTGGTGCTCACAGCCCTCTCTTCCTTAGGACGATAACGTCACCCCACCCCTGCCCGGAGCATGGGCCTGGCTCTGTGCCGTTGGGCCAGGGGGTCCGGATGCCCTAGGGAGATTTATTCTCTTCCGTTTCTGACCCCAGGCCTCCTCGTTGGGCCTGTGCGGTTGGAGGCGGGGCAGCAGGACACTCCCCCACGCCGAGAAGCCTAGGGGAACATGGCTCACGCCACTGCCTCCGCTTCACCATCAGCGAACGCCACTACCCCTACCCCACCCCCAATCCTGTCTCAGCCCCAGCGTCTCAGGGCCAGAGTGGCCACGTCGGTAGCTGGGGCTCCTGGATCCTCCACAGGACAGCCATTACACACCCTAAAGGAGAAGAGAACCTTAAGGAGACTGACTCAAGACTTTGGGAGGAGGGGTGCTAATGGCTGGGGAGCGGAGATGGGTTTCCCATTCCCCTAGAGGTCCCTGGGCCTCCTGTACAAGAGAGCATCCCGGATCTCTTAAGTGTGGGAAGCCATTTGGGGTCTCCCCAGTGTATGGTCTTTCCCCTGAGATAGGTCCCTGTCTCTTTACCCCTGTCCTGTCTCCAACTAATAATCTGTGTGTGTAACCATTGCATCAGGCCAGCCCCCTGTTTGGCTCTGCAGCCCTCTGGCCTGGGGCGCCACTGCTGATGAAAGCAGCGTCCCACCCACTGGAAGGCAAGGAGGGTTCCCCAGGGAGGACAGCCCTGAAGAGAAACATTCTGGGCGATATTGCATCTCCAGTCCCTGGGGATAGGCAGCTGCTGCTCTGCCTCCGGGCTTCCTCCTCCCTTCCCTGTAAGAGACTGGTGAGAACTTACCCATTCATTCCTAACAAATTACTTACCATGCACCTACTATGTGCCATGCGTTTTAGGCCCAGGATACATCCATGAACAAGAAAATCTCTGCTGTCACAGAGTTTACATTTCAGTGGGAAAAGGTGCACGTGAATACAAAAGTGCCATGGAGAAAACCAAAGCATGGAAGGGTAGCGAATGCTCAGGGTGGGGGTTACAGTTTTACCTTGGGTGGCTAGGGATTCTTTCACTGAGGTGACATTTAAATGAGAGATCTAGAAAGAGACAAGAGAGTAAGCCCTGCAGATATGTGGAAGGAAGAACCTTCCAGGAGAAGGAACAAGAACAGAGGTCCTAAGGTGGGAGCATGGAAACAGGAGGCCAGCTGGTTGGACTTAAGGAGGGGCAGTGGTCAATGAGAAATCCAGGGCAGGAAAGAAGTAGATTGTGTGAGGTCCGCTAAGCCATTTTAAGGAACTTAGCCTTTAATATTTATGACATTGGAAGTCATTGAGGGTTTTGAACAGAATGACAGGACCTGACTTTTTTTTTTTTTTTAAGATTTTATTTATTTATTTGAGAGAGAGAGAATGAGAGAGATAGAGAGCACGAGAGGGAAGAGGGTCCGAGGGAGAAGCAGATTCCCTGCTGAGCAGGGAGCCCGATGTGGGACTCGATCCCGGGACTCCAGGATCATGACCTGAGCTGAAGGCAGTCGCTTAACCAACTGAGCCACCCAGGCGCCCCTGACTTAACTTTTTAAAGGCTCACTCTGGCTGTTTGTTGTGAACAGACTTGGGGAGGGGTGGCAAGAGCAGAAACTGGGTAATCCAACAGAGAGGGTAGTAACTTGATCTAGACTGAAAGCAATGCAACTGGGTTTTTGAAGAATGAGTTTAAAAAATTTAGCTGGTGGTTTGAATTGTGGGGTGTGAGACAGGAATCAAGGACAATACTAAGGCTTTTGGCTTAAGCAAGTAGAGTTGCCATTTACTGAGATAGGGAAGACCATGGAAGGGGAAGATGAGCAGAATTTGTCTTTGGACATATGAAGTCCGAGATGCCTTTCAGACATGCAAAAGGTGATTCTAGTAAGCAATTAGGTAACACAGTTGGAGGTCCCAGGAGAGATCAAGACTGGAAATGTGCATTTAGAGGATGTCAGTGTGTGAATGGAATTAGGAAAATACCACTTGATCTGTTGCCTTCCCTGTAGTCCCGTCCTTACCCTGGCAGGTTTGAGGCCTACCTTGAATTTAGAGAAAGTGGAGCTGGCCGTGACTTTTCGATTATGTAATTGGGACCACAAATGTCAGCAACTAAAAATAAAGGTCAGGCTCTCCTCTGTCCTTGGAAATGGCTGGAGGGACCATTGACTGTCCACACCCTATAAGACAGGAAATGAGGAAAGACCAACAGGAGGCTGAAGATAAAAGGAGCTGCCTGCCTCCCTTCCAAAAATGGCTAACATCTATCTTTGATCCCCACAGTGTTCCAGAAGGAAGTGTATCTTCATACATCACCACACCTGAGAGCAGGTAAACTTCACCATACCTTTCCCAAAACCAGTTCTCACATGCTGCTTAGGGTCCTTGTACTGGTGTCCTAATAAGTTATGAAAACACCTAGAGAAGACAGTAGAGGAGGGTTTGAATCGGAGCAGACTTTTGCTGACAGGCCACATCCATCTTCCTGGCCTGCCCCTAACTAGGTGACCAAATCACTATTCTTAGAGCATGTCCTAATTGAAAGCTGGATGAGTGAGCTGTCAGCCCCAACAAAGATAATTGGTTGGTCTTACCAGACCTCAGTCCCCTTCAAGGTTAGACTCACCCAAAGGCCTGCCCACACAGGAGGAGAAAGGAACACAAGATGGTCTGATAATTGCCCCCTGGAAACTACCAACAGTTCCTCAAGAGAGGCTGAGGACTTTTACCAGGATCCCTTAAGAATGTATATTCTAGACCCATGCTTGTTCAAATGCCAGGCGAAAGCAGCAGAGGGAAAATTAGTATAGACCAATTGATTCATTTTAAAGGGCCAAACAGTAAATATTTTGGATGCTGAGGTCTCCACTCTTAGCATGAAAGCAGCCATAATCAGTATGTAAATAAATGAATGTAGTTATGTTCCAGTAAAACTTGATCTGCAAACAGGTACCAGGCCAGTGTGCCAACCTATATAGATGATCCGAATGCTTTGTGGAGTTGTTCCGCTCCCACCCCTGACCCCCCATCCTGAGTATGTCCTTTTCCAGAGCCTGATCCAACTGCAGAGATGGCAGCTGAGTCATTGCCTTTTTCCTTTGGGACACTGGCCAGCTGGGAGCTAGAAGCCTGGTATGAGGACCTGCAAGAGGTGCTGTCCTCAGATGAAAATGGGGGTACCTATGTTTCACCCCCTGGAAACAAGGAGGTGAGAATGCTATGCCTAAAGCTGGGGTGGGGTGGGGGTAATTGCCCTTCCCTTCTCAACTAATATCCACCCGACCTTTCCTCATTCCTTTGAAGGAAGAATCAAAATCCTTCACCACTCTTGACCCTGCCTCTCTGGGTTGGCTGACTGAGGAGCCAGGACCAGCAGAGGTCACGAACACCTCCCAGAGCCCTTGCTCTCCAGATTCCAGTCAGAGCTCCCTCGCTCAGGAGGAAGAAGAGGAAGACCACAGAAGACCAAGGAAACGGAAACAGAGTGGCCAGTCCCCAGCTGGGGCTGGAAAGCAACGCATCAAGGAGAAAGAACAAGAGAATGAGAGGAAAGTGGCACAGCTAGCTGAAGAGAATGAACGGCTCAAGCAGGAAATCGAGCGCCTGACCAGGGAAGTAGAGGCGACTCGCCGAGCTCTCATTGACCGAATGGTTAATCTGCACCAAGCATGAACAGTTGGGACCATCGCTTCCCCCTCAGGCCACTACCTACCGTTCACAAAAGTGGCTGCCGACCATCTCCTCCAGTGCCAGTGATGTGACCCTCAACCCCATCTAGTCAGGAGTGGGGGAAGCTTGGGGTAGATGACAGGAAAGGGTCTCAGCATGTATATAGAGATTGTTCATTTATTTATTACTGTCCGTATCCATTAAAGTCACTTTCTATGAGCCAGGTTCTCACTTTCACTTTTTCTTCTTGCCTTTAGGGGTTTCAAGGGGTTTCCCCTCAGCTAGAGCCAACTGTTTCTTCAGATCCAAGAGCTTAGCCACCTCGGCAGCAACCTGGTTCTTGTCTGCCTTTTGCGCCTTCAATTCTCGGACAATGTTGCCCTAAGAGCAGAGCAGGTGGGGGAAGAACAGTAGTGAGACCAGAAAGAGCCTATTTAGGATCCGGCTTTTCCGCTCTCCCAGGGCCCCCGCTGCGTACCTGTTTTGTCACCTCGTCTGTCAGCACTTGTACCTGCCGTGGTGCAGCGGCTGCCACAGCCCCTACAACTGCTGGGGGGGGCGGTGCTCTGGCCTGGAGAAGGACAACAGAGTTAAACCTGCTCTGTAAATATGCCCCCAGCCTCGGGTGTCGCCTCACAGCTCGGGACGGTAATGACCTTTCACTCCAAGGGCTCTTGCTGCTAGGACAGGGAAGAACAACTCGAAGGAAGGAAGGAGCAGGACCGGAAGCTGGAGAGAGTACTCAGTGAGAACTACTTAGGGACACCGAGGAGAGGACACTGTGGCTCTTGCTGGGTGACAGCACAGTCCAGCTTTCTCACCTGGTCCCCACCAAAGCGCTGCCTCAAACTTTCAATCTGGTCATTTTCCAGTTTTTGGAATAAGGGACTGACCTGTGAAGAAAGAATTCCATAATCATTCACTGACGAGGCAGAAACTCTGCCAGATTGTGCACAGGGCCACTCTATCCCCAGTCACTGACATTCAGGAACTCTACATGTTTTAGAAGAGACAAATGTACAAATGCCTGCCAATTTCAGTAAAGAATCCAGATAAAGCACTGGCACTCACTCTGAAAGGCCAAAGTATTAATAAGGTCCAAGACTACTTAACTATTTTAAGGATGCTAGGCTGACACAAGGCTATAGAGGTGAACTTACTTTATCCTCTTGTGTCAAAGAGGAAATGGCTATCCTGTATTCTCCCTGCTCACTGCCTGTTGGCATTATGGAGACCAGGGGACCGTGGTGTTTCCTCAAACGTCTACTGTAGACCAGTTAGTTTTACGTGCCAGGTCTTGGGTTCTGGCATGAAGAGTGATGATGGCATATGGGCTAGATGATACTGAGCTTGTGAGCGAATACCAAGGCCTTTCTGTCAGAAACAAGCCTAAGTGCACAGTGGGGAGGAGTGGGGTAGGGGTTCAGAAAACAGCTGTGAGAGTCCTATGTCCAAGTTCTCTGACCTCACCCCAAAGGCTGCATGGCAAGGGCAGGGATGATCAGAGGCCGGCCCGTCCAGCCCTCAGACCTACTGTGCCAATCTGGTGTCCGGCTGGTAAGGTGCACAGGAAGTTGGTGAGCAGGACACTGCAAGCTGGAGGTGGCAGCTGCAACTGGGCCTGGATGGTGGCACTGACCGTGGGCATGTAAGGCTGCAGCATGACGGACAGCAAGGCAGCGATATTCACTGCCAGGCCTGTCACTGTCCCAGCCCGCTGCCTGGGGAAGAAGAGACAGTCAGACTTTCCAGGAGGACACGGCCCACCACCACTTTATTCCTGTAGCCAAACTTACCTGTCAGCCTCACTGCCTTTAATCCGCTTCCAAGGCTCATTCACCTGAATGTACTGGTTGCCATGGCGAGAGATGGTGAGGATACTGCGTAGGGCCTCCCGGATCCTGGGAAGGGAGGGGGTGGGCCAAGGTGTAAAGTCCCAGAGGGACCAGTATGGGGTTCTCAACATGCCAACAGAGATCACTGAGATGAGACCCGGGTGCAAGATTGCTTACCGAACCTTCTCCAGCAGCTGGTGATAGTGCTGGAGTTCCAGGGTGACATGGGCCAGCAGGCGCCGATCATCAGAAGTAAGCACCATCTCGGGCACGTAACCCCCAAAAAACTTAGACACAAACATCCCAGCTCTTGATGTTAGTAAGGAAAGAGAGGGAAGAGAAAAGAGGAATTATTGCCCAGTCTCCTTCTAGAAATTTGACCTGATTCTCCTAATTCTCCTTTCTCTCAGAACTGACACCTCCTGGCTCCCTCAAGCTAGAAGGCAAAGCTTAACAAATTCTTTCTTCTCTCTCTCTCCCCTAAGAATAAGAAACCTGATAAAGTTAGGCAACATCCGTTTCATTTTTTTTTTTTAAGATTTTATTTATTTGAGAGAGCGAGAATGAGAGAGAGAGAGCACATGAGAGGAGGGAGGGTCAGAGGAGAGGCAGACTCCCCGCTGAGCAGGGAGCCCGATGCGGGACTCAATCCCGGGACTCCAGGATCATGACCTGAGCCGAAGGCAGTCGCTTAACCAACTGAGCCACCCAGGCGCCCCATCCGTTTCATTTTTAAGAAATCAATATAAAGAACGATCAAGTCGAAATATATGTAACTTGCTACCCAGTACTCTAATAGAGACAATCTGTGAAATGTGGTTGACAACCAAATCTGAAAGGGTGGGGAGCCACAGAGTATACTTCTTCAGACTGCAGAAGAGCTGAGATGGAGATCAATAATGGAGTGTGAGCCTAAAGTAACAAAAACTCCCCAAAGTACAGTAAATGTCTCCTACCCGTACACTAAAATAACCCCTTTCTTCAGCCAAATTTGTCTAATGTAACTTTTTTGCTAGGAGAGAATACATTTCCAATTTTATTTTTTTTTTAAGATTTTATTTATTTGACAGCACAAGCAGAGGGGGGGAGAGAGGGAGAAGCAGGCTCCCTGTTGAGCAAGGAGCCCGATGTGGGACTCGAGCCCACAACCGTGGGATCATGACCCGGGCCGAAGGCAGCCGCTTAACCGACTGAGCCACCCAGGCATCCCCATTTCCAATTCTATAAAAAACATTAATAAGAAACCAATTTGCAAAAATTCATTTTGTGACCAACTTTGCTAAAAGACACCTGTACAACTGACTTCACCCAAAGCAAACATATCCTACTATGTTCTAGGATCAGATACCAACTGATAGAAATCCACTTTCCACATTGTCCTCCCTATCCCTCACAGCTCCTGCTCATTCCTGCCTTCTTGGCACCCCCATCTCTTCCATCTCCCACCTAGTGGAGCAGAGCTAGTCTCCACCCCGCCCCGCCCCCAGCTCATCTGCTAACCCTGACCACCTGCCCAAGTCCTACCTGTTGATGAAGTTGCCCAGGTTGTTAAGCAATTCAGAATTATTCTTGAGCAACATGTCTGTCCAGGAGAAAGCACTGTCCTGGCCCTCAGGTCGAATGTAGAGCAGATAGAAGCGCCAGATGTCAGCAGGGATCCCTGTGTCCTGGGCCATGTCACCAAACACTCCCACGCCCCGGCTCTTGGAGAATTTCCCATCCTCGTAATTCAGGTACTCTGGACAGAGAAGGAGAATGAGAGCCATGTGCTCAAATCACACCTTTCCCTCTCTGACCCACTAACTCTTCCTCTCCCTCAGCCTTAACTATGGGTGTCCAGCAACACTTCTCCTTGAGTAGCGGGCCTACAAAGAATTTGGGGATCTCTTCCTCTCCATTTTAGCCTTTTTTGCCCTTTGCTTCTACCCATTATAAAATTTTAGCTTCAGGCTTTTGCTTTCTTAGGCTCGTGTTCCCTTCTTCTGGGTTGAGTTCTCATGTTCTAATTACGTCCTATTTCATTTCAACTCCTAACTCAAGAACTAGCACCTCTCCAGGATCTTCTTCCAAATACTGCCTCAGCCCTCTTTCCCTAGGAACTTCCCCATCTTCAGTCTTTCAGGGTACCTGTAGCAATGAGGTGGTTGACCAAGGTATAGTTGTCCTCAGCTCCTAAAGCTGAACAAGGAAAAACTAAGCCGTGGAAGGGAACATTGTCTTTGGCCATGAACTGATACAGGTTCACCTACAGAATACAGTTGGGAAACAAAGGTCCTGAGATCTTCTTCAAAGGCCCAAGAAAGATCAGACACCCAACCCTAACCACCCCAACGCACGCACCCTCCCCACAGACAGGCTAACCAAGAACTGCTCACTTGTTCTGGGTTCTTCCACCATCTCTCCCACTGGTCTGTGTAGTTGGCGGTGATGGACAAGTAGCCAATAGTGGCATCAAACCAGACATAGAATACCTGGAGGGCCAGGAGGAAGGAGTCAGACTAGGATGAAGGAACACTGGGAGAACCTCACCAACCCAGCCTTCAAATGAAGCAAGACATAATCAAGAGTCTATTCTACTAGCTCAGGGTCTCAACCCAAAGGCAGAATAGTATGACATATGAATAAAGCATAGAGTTTATACCTTGTCCTCAAAGCCTTCTAAGGGTACAGGGGTTCCCCATTTGAGATCTCGGGTTATACAGCGTGGCTTGAGACCATCCCGAAGCCAAGAACGAATAATGAACCGGGCATTGGGTGTCCAGTCACTGCCAGGCAATGTCTTCCCCAACCATTCCTCCAGTCGTTTTTCCAGCTGAGATGGCAGAGAAAGTCAGAGAGCTGATTTAGGACAGTCTCATACATGGTTCGCATAAGGATAAATATGTGCAACCTCTTTGGAGTAGTTTGGCAGTATACAATTAAAAGACTCGTGACTGGGGCGCCTGGGTGGCCCAGTCGGTTAAGCATCTGCCTCCGGTTCAGGGCGTGATCCTGGGGTCCCAGGATTGAGCCCCGCTGAGCAGGGGGCCCACTTCTCCCTCTTCCTGCCGCTCCCCCTGACTGTGCTCTGTCAAATAAATAAAATCTTTAAAAAAAAAAATAAAAAGACTCATGACTTTGACATAGCAATTCCACTGCTAGGAATTTCTGCAATAGAAATAGACAAAAATGGGATGCCTGGGTGGCTCAGTCACTTAAGCAACTGCCTCAGCTTTGGGTCCTGGGATCGAGCCCTGCATTGGGAGCCTACTTCTCCCTCTGCCTTCTGATCCCCCTGCTTGTGCGCTCTCTGACAAATAAAATCTAAAAAAAAAAAAAAAAAACAACAAAAAACAAAATACACAAAAGTGCATGGATGTGTATATAAGGAAGTACATGCTCATC